TTTAAAGTGATAGTTTAATGACTTAAGCGTGAATAGCTGAAAACAGATTATTTTACATAATTGCACTAATACCGAATTCCCTGTGTGCTCATGTAATTTGATTTCACAACTTCTTAAAACAAATGCAATTTAAGAACATTAAAATGCCCAGCATTGTGAACACTGCCTCTAGATGCAGTGCTCAGTGCCATTAATGGTACTGCTGCTGTCCAGCAGAACCAACTCAGTGTTACCCAGCCTGGACCACAGAATGAACTATTTCTGTTGCAGAATCTCTGCAACTTTCATATAAAAGGTTTCCCAGCTTCATGATGCAACCATCTGGGGGGGCACAAGAAGCAGCAGACTCTCAGGTGGGTGATTCACAACAGGTTCCACAAGAGGTAAGAGCCTATCTTGCAGAAACCTCTGCACAGCACCAAGCGTCTCATTACTCCTGCCAAATGTAACAACGTGAGGACACTCAGATGTGGAGGACTCATTCCTTTAAGTACAGTTCTTCTACTTCAGGCTCCCTTTCCACTGCTTGAAATTCTCATCTAAGGAATATGAAAATTCTACACTCTTCTGGAAAGTTCCTATAGATGTCTAGCAAACAGCTCAAAAATGAGAACTGCCAAAACCAGAGCATTTAGTCTTGTCATTGCCTTTAGCTTGGCTTTGTCCCCACATGCAGACCTATGCTCACACCTCATTAGTTCCTTTGGCAGAACATCTTTAACTGCAACTTTTCTTTACACAGGAGAAGGCCTCTGAAATAACTGCAAAATCATCTCACTTTCCTGTTTAAAAATGTCTCCTTTTCAGTGGCACTTGGACATCTTTCAGATGTTTGAGCAGCTGCTGTGCTATGACCACTATCCAATGTACTGATCTAGCTTGTCCTCTTATGTCCTACCTGCTTGCCTGCTTTCAGTCTGTGTTGCCACAAAGATACTCATCTCTAAGGGTAAATTTCTGTTCTGTATAACATATTTCTATTCCATGAGTAGGAAAATTCTGTGAGCAGCACAGTAATTTAGCCATTAAAGAGAGGATTTTTATCTCCTATGGCTGTTGTAAGATCCACTTAGCAGAGAGGAGCTAGTGGAAGGCATTTGTAGAGAAAGATCCAGATCATATCTGGACTGGACAAGTATGTGTGTCTGTCTCCAATAAATGTACTCGGTGGCTGATGGACTTACACATGTAAATTAGGAGCATCTGTTAAGTGTGTAACTCCTTGGAGCTTTTCAATGCTTTCCACTTCAGAGGCACAGTATTATGTTTACAGGATTTGGAAGATCATGCTTGATGTTAAGCTGCAAGAATGTCTGTTTGACTTAATAATTTTCTTTAGTTTAAATCCCTTCCTTCAGATTGCATATAGCCACTGCCATTTAAAACACACCTTACAACAGGTTTTCAGACTGAAATAAGTTGTTGTAGGGGAGGGGTGTGAAAGGAAGACAAAAATATGCAGTTATTATCAGTTATTCTAGCCTCTTTCCTGCTATATTACCTTCATTTTTTGCATCCTGTGGGTTTGTTTCAGTTTCTGTTCATTAAAAAAAACCACAAAACAAACACACAAAAGAGCTTCCTTATATTAGTTTTCAACCTTTTTGGTAATTGTATTTAATGATATAAAGTGCCTATATGCATTCAGTGAAAGTTTTCAGTAGATAGAAAGCTAATCTGTAAGCCTCCTTGAGACCGCAAAGCAATGAAATAGCTGTAACTAAGACTTCACAGCTGGAAATTTACTGTAATTTGTAGAAACACAGGCATGCATATAAACATACATAACCCCAGGTCTAAAAATGCCTGCTGTGTAGAATTAAAGCTTTGAAAATAACAATTGCATGCTCTCCACAACAAGGTTTCTTCCGCAAGTACATTTATACCACATCTTTGGGCTTCCCTTCATCTCCCTGCTATCTTTAAAATGCTGTTAGCAGAATATCTAGGACATGATTCTGAGAGTTTTAGTGTGCCCTCAACTCTGAGGGCAGTTAGTAGCAACTGAGGGCACCCACTGATTTTGAGACCTTTGCCCATAATAAGCTGCCAATTGAAAAAAAGAAACTGCAAGTTTTTAAATAAATACATTTTAGGTAACTTCCCCCCCCTGGGAAATAGTAAAATATCTCTTCTACACACCCATGCTAATTACACAAAAATATTTTTCTCTAAATTTTTTCAGCTTTCTGATTCCCCTGACTGGTCCCCATCATTCAAAACTGAAAGAGCAGCAACTTACCAACTTGCAAAGTTGTCACAGTAAGTTTTGTGTAGTGAGGTGTTGAAATATTACAGAGGTATTCTCCACTGTGATTTGCAGTAAGATCACATAACACTAATGAAAAGTCAGTTGGGTTTATTTGGGCTCCAGACTGGTAAGAGTGAGATGTACCATCGAAGGAGGCCAGGATCTCTCCATTTTTATTTTTCCAGACAACACTGAAACCTTCAGTATTTGCAGCGTTACTGCTGTTTTTGCAAGGAATTACAGTGCTATTTCCTTTCTTGCATAAAACTTTGTCTGAAACAGAAAATTGAAGAACCACCTCTATTATTTTTAAATACTATGAAGATTATTTAGACATTTTCTGATTTCTTTCTAAAGTCCAATACTTGTCTGATAGACAAATGGCAAAACATATTTCACTATTTTTATATCATATTAAAACATCACAGTATACTACTAGAAGCATCTAAAGATTTTAAACCCAAACCTACCTTACATAAAAAATTATCTAATTGGTTCCAGCTATACTTATGAAAATTATTTTGTTTTCATTTGCCTATTTCTCCTCTAAGTTCAGCCCAGTCTAAGTGTTAGAAATGAAATGCAGTGTTGTTTCGCATCTTAGTGTGAGAAACGTAGTGTTGTTTTCACACCCTAGTGTCAGGAAGATAATAGTTTGTTTCTGCCCTAGTAAAAAAAAAACATTATGGTGACTGAAAGGTGAAAGGAGCTATCTGAGCATTCCCAGGACACTGAGGTGATTTATGATCCGAAAAACTGAGGGATTAATTGGGTTCCATATGGGGGAGCTGAGATATCTGCACATGACAAAGGCCACGATAAAGACAGAACAAAGTCACTCCTATGTTACTCCCCGGGACAGGATGGCACCAGATAGTATGAATCATTCTGGTGATTGGGAAGACAGCCAAGGGGGCAAGAAAGGTCAGAATTTAACCTTAAAAGGTAAAAAAGTAAACTCCTAGAATGGAATTTGTAAAGAGGGGTGCAAAACTTAAAGCATAATTAGAAGTTGAAAAGTACCATTACTTACTTGAGCTGAATTTCCAGTGAAATTCAGGAGGAAGACAAAAGGTAGAGCTGAAAGCTATGTTAGGGCTATCATAGCCCTGTTTTTCCTTTGCTAACAAAATGAGCTGCTGTTTGCTCAAATGCAAGCATCACTTGCTGCTCTCCACTCCTATGCACCCCCAGCACTAATCCTGGGTAATTAAGAATGTGCTTAAAGAGGAGTACAAAGGAAAGATCAAACAGTACTTAAAAAGCTCTTGCAAAAGATAGGGAATAGGCTCAGTAAAGAGCATACTCACCTAGAGCGGCAGGCAAACTTTCCCCTCCTTCATATAACCCACAGGTTCACTAAGCCTCCCATCTAATTTCTCCACCTTCATTGTTTTCTTGATCAAGTGTAAAGTCTGATTATTATACACTTCTTGAAATGTGAAACTGGCATGGAAAAACGTTCAGAGTAAAGCTAACTTCAAGAAGTGCGAGCTACCTCTTCTTATTACTACTTCTTGGACAGATTGAGAGAGCTGGGGTTGTTCAGCATGAAGAAGAGAAGGCTCTGGGGAGACCTCATAGCAGCCTTCCAGTACCTGAAAGGGAGCCTACAGGAAGCTAGGGAAGGACTTTTTACAAGGGCATGTAGGGATAGGATGAGGGGGAATGGTTTTAAACTGAGAGTAGATTTGGACTAGATATTAGGAAGAAACTCTTGACTGAGGGTGGTGAGACACTGGAACAAGTTTCCCAGGGAGGTTGTGGATGCCCCCTCCCCTGAAGTGTTCAACGCCAGGCTGATGGGACTTTGAGCAACCTGGTCTAGTGGAAGGTGTCCTTGCTCACACAGGGGATTGGAACTAGAGGATCTTTAAGGTCCCTTCCAACCCAAACCATTCTGTGATATTGTAATTGTAACTGCCTTGTAATTGTAACAGAAGAGTGGTGCATCCTTCTGCACAGTCACATATCTGTGTTGCTTCACTGCAGAAATGCTGTCTTTAATTTGACTTTGAAACCAACTGTGACATTCAGTAATGTTGCAGGAAGAGACTTCTGCTCACTCCTACCTTGCATCTTCCATTCAGCCTTCCACTCTTCATGAGGGAGACTAATATGACAGGAGTATGGATAATTTATGTTTATAATTTTGTCACTTCGAAGCGAATAGAGAACTCCAACCCTGTTTGTCTCCTGATGTGTTTCTTGGACAGTTGTATTGCCTTGCATCCAGGATATACGTGGTACCGGATAAGTGAGAAAGGCATAGCACTTCAGCATCTTTTCTGTGCTTTGGTATTCCATTGCATAATAAGAGGAAACTGTAGATGAAGGGAAAAAAAAAGTCAATCCTACTACTTTCAAAATCCTTTTAACTTTATTAGTCTTCTGAAATACCATTGGGGAAAAAGAAATATAACTGAGAAAAAAAATAAATTATATTTTATTTCAGAAGAAATCATAGCATTACTTAATGTCAATGTCAAGGTCTATACTGTTCTGAGAAGACATGCAATGTTTTAAAATTCAAGTAAACTATATAATTAACCCTTAGAACACAGTTATGAAAAATACCGCACTGTAATTTTTGAACTTGTGTTACAATGCTTCAGCAGAGAAAATTAGTTGCTTGATAACACCATCAGATCCAAAATTGGAGAATTTGGATTTCATGTGAGAAATAACACAAGAAAACCTAGTGGTGTCCCGTTTCCACTGGTGTGATCTAAGCACTTGTAACGTCTTACTAACCTCTCACGTGCAGCGTGACTTCCACTTCTGTTCTAGTTCGCCGTGTTCCCACATAGCAAGTATAAAGGCCCTCATCAGTCACAGTCAAGTTTCTAAGTTCCAAGGAGGCATCTCCACTGGGAATGTTCTGGTGGGAAAGGTGTGTTCTCCCTCTGTAATCTGAATCTTGGTCTTTCAGCTGATCACTCTGGTGGTAGTAGCTGTGCACACTTTTGTCCCCTTTCTTCCAGTGAATTACTTCATCATTATCAGGAGGGAAAGCACAAGGGAGGATGCGATCCTTGGAAAACAGCCCTGTTACTGTTACGTGTGCTGTAAAACCCAAAACCCATAAGTATATATGAGTAAGTTAAATCTATGAGTGTATTTCTGCCCCTTCCAACAACCAGAACAATAAAATGATCTGGCAGGCAGCACATTCTTGCCAAGCATGCCAATGGTACTTTCAAGGCTTTTCTGTAGCATGAGTTACTGGGACAGCAAAGGTCTTCAGTGAGTTTCATCAATATTTTACAGGAGAGCTTTCATCTTTGAGTTTACAATCAATGTAAGTAGACACCCATGCGTAAGCGCTTACATATTCAATTCAGCACACCACCACCTCAGCTTTGAATGCATTTCCAAAAGCACCACCTTCAATCTCAAAACCTGTTTGAGCTGCATCTTGCTACTTGCTCAATTTCATATTCATAATGTCATGTTGCAATGACCCAGGTTACCAATAACATCACATGATGCCAAGCAGTTGTACCATCACAGCAAAAACAAGGACCAGGGCCATGGGACAGAAACATGGACAGGTAACAGTTCAGGTGCTCAACATGTTTGATGGCCATCCATGCAGCCATCTTCCAGCTGCCTTTGTTTCAGGAGTGTTTTACATGACCCTTAATTGATGATTTACCCTTAATAAACAGAGTTTTAATTAATTCTCCCCTCTTAAAAATTAGTAGTAACTGTATTATTTTTCAAAAACAACAGAACAATAACCTACCCCAAAGTCTAGCAGCTGCATGAAATATATAGATGAGAAGAAATGTTCTTTTCTGTCCCTTCATGTCTTCTTTGGTTCACAGATTACTTGTATCAAACTGACAACATAAAAGGATAGAAGAAAACCTGATTAAATGCAGATAAAAGATACACCCTAATTATATAATTTCCTTCATACAGCTGATTAAGGACTGTAGGTGTTTGTGTCATAGTTTTTATTTGTAACAGCCTGATTTCAGCCTTAAGATTAGTATGTAACACTAGGCTTTCATAATGGTTGAGGCTCTGTATTATCATGCAATCCTTTGCAGATTGATACTTTGTGATTAATGAATGGAAAGTGGTTACCCTCAGTGATCTTACAGGGCTAGGGAACATTAATCTTCATCATTCATGAACAGGACACAGAGAAAAAAATGGTCATGTGCCGTTTCCAAAAGAAAATAAGATGTCTGTTGTTGCCAGATCTTTCTGCTCCCTAAAATATATTTCTAATTAAGGCACCATTTGACTTTCTGAGGTGGGAAATGTGCTCTCATTTGCAAATACTGCAAATACTGCAGATATAATGAAATTTTCACACTTTTCACCAGATCAAAACAACATCAGCTGAACTTCAAAAATGTGCGCATGGAATTCTGACATAGGAACATAAAGAAGAAGTTTCTCTCATCGTGTCTTCTGGTTTGTCAGTTAATGACAATGAACTGGAAGCTTTTGCACAAAATGAAAAAAGAATAATCTTATTGAAACTGATTGACTGCATTCTTCCTCCACCCTGGCACACTCTTCTGAAATAGACCATCCTGCAGTGGAGAAATTACCTCATAAATCAAATAGCTTGAAAAAAGTCTGAAGACCTTTCCCTGGTTTGTTTTCCCCTCCCCAGAGAAGCGTTTTCAGTTCCATTCCTGACATTACACAGGACATAGGTTTTAACCAGGCTTGCTAGCCAGTTCTTTTCATACTAATTACTAATTTTGACTGGTCTGCATCAATGTATTTGTGTTCAATATGAATTTACATCCCAAGGATTTTTGTATGTTATTTCTTTTGTAAAGCTAGTGTGATCACTTAATGTATTCTCATTTTTCTATTAGGGGAACAAACCAACAGAGAGGTCTCAAAATACTCAACCTGAGACAGCAATGATGCCAGAGTAAAACAAGCATTTATGATACTGGCAATTGCTGCTAACATGAAACAGAAATATATATCTGCCTTGCTCTGTGCCATGGAGAGTGGTATACATAATATTTTATTGGATTTTTAGCTCATTTGTCCATCACTTTCAACTTGATTAATACAACATATTATGCTTGATGTTTGAATTTCATAAACTGCAACCAATGCTAAATTTCCCTTAGTGAGTGATCTGCTATGTTTAGTAGACAGCCTGTGCAGTTTGGCAGTAATGCTCTGAGAGTAACATGGTTCCAACAACACCTCTCTGGTGCGTTTGGGGGTTGTGTCAAGGAACAAAGCCCTGACAGCTGATACATCATAGGATATTAGTAAATTCAATAGAAATATAGCCTAACAAAAGTTTACTAAAATAATGAATTTAATATAGAATCACAGAATCCTAGGGGTTGGAAGGGACCTCGAAAGATCATCTAGTCCAACCCCCCTGCTAGAGCAGGGTCACCTAGAGCAGATCACACAGGAATGTGTCCAGGTGGGTTTGAATGTCTCCAGTGAAGGAGACTCCACAACCTCCCTGGGCAGCCTGTTCCAGTGCTCTGTCACTCTCACAGTAAGGAAGTTCTTCCTGATATTCACATTGAACCTCCTATGCTCCAGTTTGCATCCATTACCCCTTGTCCTATCACCGGTCATCACCGAAAAAAGCCTAACTCCATCTTCCTGACACTCACCCCTTACATATTTGTAAACATTGATGAGGTCACCCCTCAGTCTCCTTTTCTCCAAGCTAAAGAGACCCAGCTCCCTCAGCCTTTCCTCATTAGGGAGATGTTCCACTCCCTTAATCATCTTTGTGGCTCTGCACTGGACTCTTTCAAGCAGTTCCCTTGTCCTTCTGGAACTGAGGGGCCCAGAACTGGACACGATATTCCAGATGCAGCCTCACCAATGCAGAATAGAGGGGAAGGAGAACCTTTCTTGACCGACTAACCACACCCTTTCTGATGCACCCCAGGATGCCATTTGCCTTTTTGGCCACAGGGGCACATTGCTGGCTCATGGTCATCCTCCTGTCTACCAGGACCCCTAGGTCCCTTTCTCCTACACTACTCTCCAGCAGGTCAGCCCCCAACCTGTACTGGGACATGGTGTTGTTCTTCCCCAAATGTAAAACTCTGCACTTCCCCTTGTTGAATTTCATCATGTTTCTCCCCGCCCAACTCTCCAACCTATCTAAGTCTCTCTGAATGGCAGCACAGCCTTCTGGTGTGTCAGCCACTCCTCCCAGCTTAGTGTCATCAGCAAACTTGCTGAGGGTACATTCTATACCCTCATCCAGGTCGTTGATGAAGATGTTGAACAACACCGGTCCCAGCACCGACCCTTGTGGGACTCCACTAGTAACACACCTCCAACCAGATTCTACCCCATTGACTACAACTCTCTGACTCCTTCCTTTCAACCAGTTCCTAATCCACCTCACTTCCTGGTCACCAAACCCATACCTGATCAACTTATCCACAAGGATGCTGTGGGAGACGGTGTCAAATGCTTTACTGAAATCAAGATAAACCACATCTACCGCTCTACCATCATCTATCCACCTAGTAATTTCCTCATAGAAGGCTATGAGGTTAGTCAAACATGATTTACCCTTGATAAAACCATGCTGACTGCTCTTGATGACCCCCATGTCCTTGATGTGCCTGGAGATAGTCACAAGAACAAGTTGTTCCATCACCTTTCCAGGGATGGAGGTGAGGCTGACCGGTCTATAGTTACCCGGGTCCTCCTTCTTGCCCTTCTTGTAGACTGGAGTGACATTTGCTATCCTCCAGTCCTCAGGCACCTCTCCTGTTACCCATGACTTACTGAAGATGATGGAGAGTGGCCTAGCAGTGACCTCCGCCAGCTCCCTCAGCACCCTTGGGTGCATTCCATCCGGACCCATCAATTTATGGATGTCCAGATTACGCAACTGATCCCTAACCCAATCCTCATCTACTATGGCAAACTCCTCCTCTATCTTAACTTCTTCTGGAGCTATAGGAATCTGGGGCTCCTTGGGAAAGCCTGCAGGAGTAAAGACAGAGGCAAAGAAGGAGTTCAGCACCTCTGCCTTCTTTATATCCTCTGTCACCAGGGCTCCCACCTCATTCCTCAATGGGCCAATATTGCCTCTATTGCTAGTTTTGCTAGCTATGTACTTGAAAAAGCCCTTTCTATTATCCTTAACCTGACTTGCAAGGTTAAGTTCCAAGGAGGCCTTAGCTTTCCTAATTGCCTCCCTACATCCTCTGACAACAGTCCTATATTCCTCCCAAGTGACCAGCCCCTCCTTCCATGATCTATAGATTTTCCTTTTCCACTTAAGTTTGCCCAGTAGTTCCTTCTTTAACCATGCAGGTCTCCTAGCACCCTTACTAGATTTCCTAACCATTGGGACACTCTGATCCTGTGCTTGCAAGAAGTGGTCCTTGAATGTTGACCAGCTATCTTGAGCTCCTTTATCTTCTAGCACCCTGTCCCATGGGATTTCCCTTAATAGATGATTGAGGAGACCAAAGTTTGCCCTGTGGAAGTCCAGGGTTCTGGTCCTGCTGGGTATTCTGTTCCTTCCACACAGGATCCTGAACTCCCCCATCTCATGATCACTGCAGCCAAGGCTGCCATTGACCACCACTGCTTCAACAAGGCCCTCCTTGCTGGTTAGTACAAGATCCAGCAGCGCTCCTCTTCTAGTCGGCTTGTCCACCATTTGCATTAAGAAGTTATCATCAATGCACTGGAGGAACCTCCTAGACTGTGAAAGGCTGGCTGTGTGAGTCTTCCAGCAGATATCAGGGTAGTTGAAATCTCCCATGAGGACCAGGGACTGTAGTTGTGAGGCTGCTTTCAGTTGCCTGTAGAAAGCCTCATCAACCTCCTCACCTTGATCAGGAGGTCTGTAGTAGACCCCCACAACTGTGTCACCCGCACCTGCTTGCCCCTTAATTCTTACCCACAGAATTTCAACATGCCCCTCATCAGCCCCTGCATGAAACTCAATACATTCTAGTTGCTCTCTCACATAAAGAGCAACCCCACCACCTCGCTTCCCTGCCCTATCTTTCCTAAAAAGCACATAACCATCCATGGCCACATTCCAGTCATGTGAGCTGTCCCACCATGTCTCTGTTATTGCTACTAGATCATAACCCTTAGCCCGCACACAAACCTCTAACTCCTCTTGCTTGTTCCCCATGCTGCGTGCATTAGCATACAGGCATTTCAGGAACGAACAGAGCACACCGGTGGGACTAAATCCTCCTTGGACGACCTGACTTTGGGCCATGGTGTGTTCCTCTTGTGCTTGTCCCTAACAGACCCGGTCTTCTCCCCTTCCCCCATCACATCTAGTTTAAAGCTCTATCAATGAGCCCTGCCAAGTCCTGCCCCAAAAGCCTCTTCCCCCTCTGGGACAGGTGCATCCCTCCTGCCACCATCAGTCCAGGTGCCTCATATAGCATCCCATGATCAAAAAAACCAAAACCCTGGCTATGGCACCAATCTCTTAACCATTCGTTGACCTGCAAACTCTTCCTATATACCTCCCTACCCATTCTTGCAGGAGGGATGGAGGCAAACACTACTTGCGCTCCAGACCCCCTAACTAGCTGTCCCAGGGCCCTGAAGTCTCTCTTCATTGCCCTTACATTTCTTGTAATAATTTCATCACTGCCAACCTGAAAAATCAGCAGCGGGTAGTAATCGGAAGAATTCACAAGATTGGGGAGTTTCCTTTTAACATCCCTAATCCGAGCCCCAGGGAGGCAACAGACCTCCCTGTGAGATGGGTCCGGCCGACAAATGGGCCCTTCTGTCCCCCTCAGAAGGGAGTCACCCACCACAATTACTCTCCTTTCCTTCTTGATTGAAGAAGTCCTAAGGACTCGAGGTGACTGACGAGTCCTAGGCACTTCACTAGGTAAGTTTACCCCTCCAACTTCATTTTCCTGTTCCTGAATTTCCAATGCCTCGTATCTATTCTTCAAGGGCAACTGAGAGGGTGGAAGGGGTTGGGAGGATTTTTTCTTGCCTCTTCGAGGTCGAACCTCCTTCCATTCCTTAATATCTCTTAAGTCCTCCCCATCTG